CATTCAAAGAAAATTTAAAGAAGAATCTGTTGTATTCCAATCACAAACCTTGTTTTCTTTAACATATCTTTAAAGTAATGACCATTGCCTTCCAATACTTGTTTAAATCTTGTAATATAGAGTTTCATTTCTGATATGCTGGATGATACTATATATATATCAATTATTTCATGATTTTTGTGATGATGCATTATTGATTTTCTATATAGGCACTGGAACTGCAAAAGCTTGGTTTTGAGTTCTTTGGGATTATTGCCAAGCCAAACAGTAACTTGATTGCAAAGTTTGGTTCAAGAAGAGGAAAACTCTTTTTGGAAGACAAAAAAATTTGTTGGGAATTTGCCTCTGAGATAAATGGTAAGTCAACAACAATTTAAGTAGACTCCACCTATAGTCCATTTTAAGTGGCTGATGGAGTGACAGTCATTTAGAATTTAAACCCGAATATGCAACAATATGGAAAATAATCAATGTATCTTGATTTACAGTCATATTTATTAACTCTCTTGTGTTTTCAGTCAACATTTGGATGACCAGGGTCTACTGTACCAGCTAAATATATATGTGAATGCAAGACATGAAATAATAACGTTGAATTGTTTACCCCTTTTAATACTTCTTTGTAGTAATTCCTTTTGATTTCATCTTCCAAAACTTCTACTCTTTGATTCTTTTAAAGTTAAATTCATTGTACATTTGCAGTTGAAAAGAGTGAAAGAAAAAAGGACCAGTGGGAAAATCTTTTCTCGCTCTGTCTGTCTGAAAATCAGTCTGTAAAATTTGACGCTACTTCATACTCTAAAATTAATTACACAGCATATATGTTGAATGACACGTACTGCTTCTGTCTTTTGCAATGCTACCCGCGTTGTAGACAAGATATTCAAGGGTGCTGATGGCGTTTAATTGACTGATTCCTCATATGAAAATGAATTTCTTCTTGATTATAGAAGAAAGCATCAAATTTTGCCAGGTATATATTCAAAAGAATAATGTAAAGCCCTGTGTTTGATTTTTACAAAAGCCAAGCGGGATGTCAAAGTGGGGGTACAGGGGCTACAGGGGCATGGTACCACCAACACTTCGCCAATTTAGAAATGATGCATTTCTAGCACCAAATTTTAGCACCAAAGTACTTTGTTTCAATAGTTGTACAATACAGTAATCTACCAGTAACTTTAGCCTGTTAATGACTTTGCATTGAACCTTTCAAATAATTTTCAAATAAGGATTCATCAGCAAACTCGCACCCCTCAACTCAAGCATACCTGGCGTTATTATTTCCTTGCAGCTACTTGTTTTCCTTTTTTCACTCATGACAAAACAACTACAGTATCTGAATTACATTTAGTCCCATGAAATGTAATTTACAAGAAATGCTTATTCTCCAACCCTAATAGTGTACAAGTTGCTTGAAAATACATTTATCTTTAGGGTGTTATTGCAGAGAGGAGCGAAAATTTAGGTAATTGAAAGCCTTGACATTTTCAAGATTCAGAAATAATTTTATTGACACTTTTAAGGCTCACTCAAATTATCAGGAAATTTTTGTTTTTTACAATGATATTTATCAGATATGGATATTGTTGATTATAATTAATGATATATTGTTCTAAGGTCCAAGTGATTTTAGAAGGTACCAGGGAACTACAGGCGTTTTGCTGGTGAACTTATAATTGCTGAAACAAAACTGTCTGTGAAAATTATCATTTATCATTTTCTTGACGTACTTTCTTTGAAATTAGTTCCTTTTCAATTTTGACATCTCAGGTCTGTTGCAATGATGTACATGTAAGTACAAAAGATCATGCACGAAAATTTATCATCAAAACGGTTCATTGATAAAGAAAGATATTGCTTTTGAAAAACTAACAGCAAATTGTCATATTCCATGTTTCATTCCACTGCATGAGTTGATAATATTGATAGAGAAGAGATAGATGACTGATGTGTTGAAAGACTATCTTTGATGTGATACTCTTTTACTCTGATTGTGTCAGGTGACTAATCAGGGGGTCTCAAAAAAGACAAGAGATGTATTAACCTTAATTTGAAAGAATTTACAGAAAGTTTTTTGCTTCACTCTCAAAAGACATCTGTCACTGGCACCAAATTTAAAAAATTGAAAACATTGAAGAGGACACTTTTGATGATTTTCTTGGTAAGAGATGTTTTCTAAATTTGCCTTTAATAGGCTTTAAACAAATATGTTTTAACTCTCTGCTTCTATTGTTGTACAGGATTTCAATTATCCTGAATAGTTTCATTTTCAGTCTGCATGGAAAATGGAAGTTTTCTTGACTAAACAGACTTACGTTTAAAAAGTTTCAGGATTTTTTGATAACAGAGTTATGTCAACGAATTATATTCCGTTTCGCCCAGATACGCCCATTATATTTTCTATACACAATCTAGGTTTAATTATCCTCAAAAATTCTTTTGAGCTGGAAAAACGCCAACTTTTTAATTATGACCATATTTATAAATCACGAATATTTAATAATGATTCTTAAGAATATATTGAATTTATAAACAAAGTATGAAGAAGAGTTGAATGGCCTCGAAATTATTTAGAGATCTCAAAGCACATATTGTTTTTCATTTGCATTGCAACGAGACTTCAATAAAAAATAGTACATGAAACAGAGTTTACCAGACAAGCAAAAAACATTACAGAAAGATATTTACGTGTGGTGATTTTTTACTGCAGAGCACCATAAGAGGTGAATATGATGTTAACTATTTTTTACTAAATTAGCCTTTTTTTCTGCTGAGCCATTCGTGACAATTAAAACCTATTGCTTTGCATAGCTTTAGAAAATACCTCTCGTCTCTTGGCGTTGCAACTTTTTTTGTCTACAAACCTCTGATGCTGGTTAGATTTTTCAGAGATTCAAAATCGAAAATGTTATTGGGCAATCAATTTCTACAATACTTAAACCTCAAGGATGGTCCAACTCACTGTTCTTACGTGTTTAAGTTTCTCTTGATCCTTGTGTGATTTCAGCAGGTACTATAATATCTGGGGCCTGCACAAAATTAAGGCAGGAGGGGCAATGTTGGTCCTGAGGGTAAGCCATATATTCTTCTAGTAATATAATAGAGTATTCTTGATGACGCGGGGGGGGGGATGGGGTGGCATAATAAAATATCAATATGAATATGTGCCACCCATACAGCCAGGTCCTTTGCCAATGACGATTCTAAACAAAGGGAAAATGTTGACAATATCCTCCATACATTCAAGTGAGTATTGAATTGCCTTTCCACTTTACACAATGTTTGGTTTTATATAAATCATGGCGGTTATAAATGGGCAGGTTGTAAAAATTGATTTCCTGCTACGTTTTAGTACCGATTTACCCTTCTTAGTTTCCTGGAGGACTGCTGAGAGGAACACGTCTTTTGTTTTTTTCTACTCCTTTGCCGCTCTCGCTTCAGGGGCCCATCAATGTTGTCTTCTTTTAAAATTTTGTAATTGAAATTAACTTAATGAGATTGGTCAAAGTCGCCCTCCTCAATGTGTAATAGGATTAGTATGGTAGCCCATGGCTATCAACGCAAAAAATAAATTTTTTTTACAAATTTGATTGCATACTATCATCATTTTTAGAATAATTCAATAAAAAATTAATTAAAAGTTTAATGAAATAAAATTTAATTTTACAAAATTATAAAAATAAATAAATTTAAATGTTGAAAAAATTTTCTATTCAACTTTTTTAAATCATTTAATAAAATTTTATTTGCGTTTATGAAATTAAATTAAAATTCAACAAAAAATAAAAATAGTAATTAAGTACAATTTTACCGGAATTGAGCGACAAAAAATTATCTTCGCAAAAGAAGCTAAAAATTCTACTAGTATTTTTATTTTTTTACGACGTGGCCCATGGCTATCAACTATCAGTGAAGTACTCCATGTAAATTATCAGACGGAAACTTGTGTTCATGCAAACATGGCGGATGGAAGAGATGCATACAATAACTTCATGGCAAAAGTAAAAGCTAAACGAATCGGTCAAACAGACAACGCAGGGCACGGCAAAGGCAAGAAGCCAAAGAAGGGCATTGAATGTATTGTTGTGCAGAGAGTTAACTCGCAGCCAACTGGGAAATTGAAAAATTTGAGCCACTGGATTCAAGGGACTTTGTAGACTTCACCCATTATGATTCATTGACATTGAAAAACATTAAGCATGCATGTGAGTCATTTTATGGTGCTCCTATAGGCTCTTGTAATGTCCTGTATAGCGACAGAGGTCCCTCTTGCACCTTAGATGAGCATGTAACCGGGAAAAAGTTTTATCTAGTGCGGTTTATGACATCAGGAAATGGAGTGCGAAAGCTGGACAGGCCTACTAATCAACGTCAAAATTATGAATTCAGCCCTGAGTTCAATAAAAATGTCAGCCACTCAAGCGTCATGCCTTTCAGTTTGCCATCTAGAAGTGCATTTTCCAAACCTAAGAATGACAGTGGAATTTCATCAGCAACATCAAGTGCTGAGCCAATGAAGGTTACTGTCCCTAAATCTGTAACAATAGCAGATCTTCTTGGTGCTGGAAAGCTTATCCAACCAGAAGTTTGTGATGATGTTACAATGCAACTGGAATCTTTTAGCATCATCGAAAAGGTATGGCTGAAAAATGATCCAATCAATTTTCAAATAGAAAGGAAACATTTTGCAGCAGGAGGCTTTCGAAATGCTTTCAAACCAGTCAGTAACAAAGGGGTTTTTAAAGTGCCACTGAACTACTTTTGATAAAAAATATTGTTCCTCTTTTAATGCGCTCGTTCTATGAAACAATTACCGCTGATTCGATTGGCAGCATTATTTTTGCATTTTGATAAAGGGAAAGGCGTTTTTGGGGGGTTTATTTGCCCCATGGTTTTGTGAAAAAGGCCTGGGGCGAGTGACGCATTCTGATTTATACAATCCGCCAACCCAATTCACAACAACGTACTTCAAGGAATAACGAGGCAGAAGGAACGTATCGATGTCAGAGACGGATAATTCAGATGTCTCTTTTGCAACAACAAGTGACGACGAGACTATCCTTGATCACGATAGAATAGAGCAGCAACAGTGTGACGTGGCAACTAGTTTTGAGCCCTATCAGGATGAGCCTCTTGCTTCGTCATCGAGTAGCGAAGGACTGGCCGACGATGACCCTGACATCGATGGAATTCCGTTTGAGGCTCTGGAAGCAAGGTACGAAAGAAGGGTGCCAATTGAGGAATGGTAGGTTAAATGGCATATAATATTTTGTTAATATTTTCTATTCCTATAACCTTATCCTCCATAAGATAAGATTGAAGTTCAAAGTAAAGTGTAGATGGCCTAGACATAGGCCTATATTTTACTACAGGCGCGCATACGTAAGTAAACAAAAAATGTAACGTGTTTCGAGTAAAATTTGAAGAAAGGTAACTGTAGATGAGACCTTAGTTAATCGAAAGATCACTGAGTTTCCTGAAAATTTCTATGCTACCTCCTTGTTACGAGAAAAGTTCAATTATAGTCAAACAATAACTGGAGATTCTTAACAACAGCAATAAAATAGGATGTGGTAGGGGTGCTTTATGAGGGGAAGTGGCAATATTTTATAATCAAATGAAGTTTTACCAGTCAATATTCAATCAAAGTAATAATTTTAAAAAATTGGGCCTATTTTAATCAACTTTATTTTTTATTGTGTTTTTTTAATTCTAAGGTTTCGCAGCAAAGCATAAAGTAAATGAAGGCCTTGGTTAACCTGTTTAACCAATGGTTGCAAGCAACCCAAAGGAATATCTTTGATATGCATAAACAATGTTAACTTATTTGTGCATATATTTATTTAAATATCTTCAATTGAACTCCTAGGTGTCATTGTGGGAAATGCTCTGTTGAAGGCCTAGTCGCTTCTAGGGAATACAGATGCTGTTGGGAGGTACAACAGGCTATTGGACAGTTGGTATTTCAGGGAACAGCAGAAGAACTGAGATGTGTTACTAATCATCCAGATTTCTCTGCTTTATCAAACAAAACTGTCCTAAAACTTGCTGGATCTCTTTTCAAAACCAGGGATGGAAAATGCTACAAGCGTCAAGCAAATCAAACAGAAAATGAGTAGGTTTATAAAAAAATTTTATCCAGGAGAGTGGAATTTCCTCAAAGAAAAATGGAGGCCAAAATTTGACACAATTGCCACACAGTCTTTATGCTATATTTATTGCAATACACAGATGCTGGAAAACAGTCTTTAGATAGTAAGGCGTTCCACAGTAAACTCTTTAAAAATGGCTTTGAAAAATTGGAATAAGACATGTGAATTAACTATTTTGTACATAAGTTAGTTATATAAGCAATAATAAAGTTATAGCAATTAGAGACTACAGTTAGAGACAATATTCCAACTGAAATCTTCAATTCATTGTACATAAAGCAATTTTTCCTTGATTAAACTAAATGTTAGGTCAAGAAACCTCTTGATAATTCTACAAAGCATCTTATCTTTCTTGCAGATTTTTAAGAGCTGTTGCATACAGATGGCTTATTCGCTGGATGTTTGGCTTTCTTGGATACGATAATGCCCGACCTCTCCCAGCCTGCATATATAAATTCATAAGAGAGAGATTCCCAACAGGAGCAAAAAAGGGATACAAATCGAGTCAACAACGCGACCTAGTAGACTGAAGCAGGTTTTAAGTTGTATGCCATTCAAAATGTGTAGGTTATGAAAACACAAGACTGCTGCTTACATTTTGTAAGGTTTGCATGTAAAGGTGTATGAAAGTAAGATATTCCTCCTAATCCAACATTATTTGCTAGGAACACACGACCAATTTCCAAAAATTGATTCTTAAATATTTTGTTTATCTTTTTTTGCATTATTGGGAGAAAGTTCCCTGCAATGGAAGAATATCTCCATCTTTTTAACTATAACTATGTGTTAAAGCTGCAAGTATGTCCCTTTCTTGGTTGTCCACACTTTCTACAATGAGGTACTGCCATTTTCTTCTTTTTTGAAGCTGGGACACTTGCTGACACATCATCAGCTTCTTGTTGGTCTGCTAAAAGATTCTGTTCTTCAGCTAAAACATAAAATTTTTGTTAATAGGCTTATTTGCAACCAAATTATAAAATGTTTGATCTAACAGCACTTCATAGTAATTGAAGGACATTGTTTTTTTAAATAATGGCCCCTCTGTAATAGTAATTTTATTGTATTACCTGATGGAAATAAGTTTGTAATGGCCTTCTGCCTAGCCTTCCAGGAGTCTATAGCTTCTTGCCTGTTTGCCCTATCTTTGAACTGGCTTGTAAGGTTTCCTGGGACCAATGCTGTCTCCCTTTCTGTTATGAAACTCATTGCGGCATCAGGAAGTGAGAACAGCAAATCTTTGAGTTCGCTTATATAACCTGTAACAAGGGGAAAACTTTGCACCTAATTCTTTAAGAATTTTTTAAACAATCTTGGTTAAAAGATTCAATGAATAGAAGACACACAAGTCGAAATAAAACTCTCATAATAACTCTTCAAGAGTTTTAGAACATACCATAAGTGGGATTGGTAGCTATTTCACGAACAACTTCGTCACCAAATTTGTATTTAGGATATGTCACATGGAGAGATTTTTGTCCAGTCTTTGTGGATCGCCTTTCTCGACGTAAATTCTCATTAAAATGGAGAATAGCAAGTATAATCCTAGATCAACAAAAGAAATTAATAAGAATTACCCTATCAGGAATCAATTTTTTGATGAAATACTAAAGGAAAAGTACCATAAAAATGCAATTGCTTCTCAAATACACTGCAGATGCAATTGTTGAAATTTTATTTTATACTTGAAAGTTGAAAAAAGCTGAATATTGTCAGATATTTTCAGAAATGCTTAAAGTTCTGGTTTCTACAGGTACAGTCAGCAATTATGCTTTTAGGATGAGGGGTTTTTAAGAAAACAAACCTGCACTTTGTGCCAATGAATGAAAAGCATAACATCTTCGGGTGCCAATGGTTTAAAAGGGAATGATACCCTTCAAGGCAGCTTGTTTGTAGGTCTGGCGAGAGTTTCTTTATGTCATTTATGATTCTGGTATTCATCAAAATTGATTCAAGTTTATCATAGGCTGGTGTCCCTGGAATATAATTGATTATGGTAAATACTTTTTTAGAGCAAAGCTAAATGATGTCCCCAGCACCTATATACATACATACTGTTGATAAAAAGAAGGGACCTATATACATACCTATTTTGATCCATTTTCTCTTCTCCAGTTGATCATGTTTGCATTTTGGAAAAAGGGGATTGTCATGGCCATCATGCCTGTTTGCAATATGCCTCATAATGGATGTCCATTTAGCAGCAATCATTGCACCAAAGCCTTGTCTTGTCGATAACACACACCAATACAAATGTCTTCGAATTCCCTTGACCCAATATTGCAGCCTGTCCAACCCTTTCTCTTTAGCAGCTTGTGAAATCCTTTTACAAATTGACCTTGCCACATGCCAAATGTCATAATAATGATGGGTATCTTTCTGGTTGTTCCTTATCCACTTTGCAATCCCAGTATGGCGGTCTGATACAAATGTTGATATGTCAACTTTTTCTTTCTGTAGACTGGCAAAACATTTCTTTGCTCCAAGCAACTCCATGGCATTGCTGGTTCCTGCCTCATTTGCCTGAGAAAATTTTTTTAGTTCAGATATACTTTTCGAACTGACTTATGTTGGCAATAGAAAAGTTATTACAGGATTCCTGAAAACAAACAGTCTGAACTTGCCTTTGAAATTCATGTGGTACTTTAATGAGAGGGAGGCAAACCTGCTACAACATACATATATTGTCCTAAAAATGGATCATAGGTTGCCTAAACTTTAGGGTACAATCACTTTCTAAACCTCTTGGTTTTACTAGTAGTTTTTTTGTATATAAGGAGAGAGCATCTAGTAAAAACAAGATTTAATGCAATGTCAGACATATAATTGTATTTGAATATAATTTTTGCTGCAAAGTAGTAGTCAATGTTGATAAATTGCAACACATTGATATGAGAAGATAGCCTGGTTGTTTTGTCACATTCAAGGTTTGAAAGGAGATTGTTATTTTATGGCTTGTTAGAATCTTGCAAGCATGAAAGCATACGAATTTACATGCTCAAATATCAAAACAACTTGTTCAAACCTGTAAAAGTTCGAAATGGACAATCTTGGAGATGGAAGAGTTAAACATCGAGTATACACCATATTTTGCATTATGTCCCATAGAATCGAAACGACCATCCCCACTCCAGCTAAGATTATTCATATTTCTAAGGGTAGCAAGCATGTTTTCTCTAGATTGGTCCCAGCATCGAATAATGGTTGGAAACAGAAACTTCTTCTGGTGCTTAAAAAATGTTCGAGCATGGTAGCAGCACACTCCCATGTGCTGAAAAAGAAGCAGTACTTTGCTTATAGATGCACCAGCAGTAAGAGTAGCAAAGCTTAACAGAATGTTGCCAGCGGGAATCTGCCCCAGGACCAATGGCTGGCTGCTCCAGATGAATTTTCTTTTGCATTTCCTGCATGACTGGATGACCTTTACCATGGTACCATACTTAACAAATTCAACCAATGGTTTCTTTTCTCCACATTTGAAGCAGAACAAAGAAAATAATGCCACCAACATTGATTGAAATACAATGAACTTTGGTTCGTCTTGGGTTGAAATATTTTCCTCGATGCTGCATAAAATAGGTATCATTAAAAACCTTGCTAATGCAAAGAAATAAAATGTGATAAATACTATTTATGTGGCCAAGACCAGTAACATAGCGAAGGTATGAGGATTTAGTGAAAGCATCTTCATTGATAGCTTGAATCTATCTAAATAAATATCTGTCAATCTATATAATGTGAGTGGATTTAATTGTCAAGCCATTTTGTCTTCAGTAAAATATTAACTAGTGCCTTTACTGTATTAATCCCTATCTTACTATTGTGTTTAAATGTTCTATACTTACTTGATTGCATTTTTTGTTCTTCTCATAGTGGCATTAGTGAAGGCATCTTCAATTGTTTCTTCCGGTTCTTCTCCACCTGATTCTGCCTCCCCATAATCAACATTACTGTCACTAGAATCCAAATTATCATTCTCTTCTAAAACATCATACAAAACATCATTTCCACCATCATCTTCCGATTCTTCATAATAATAAATGTCACCATCAGCATCTTGGTGATTCGTTTCCTCATCATCAGAGCTGGATAGCTGAAATGGTGAGAACAAGATACTCAAAAAAATTTTAATAGCTCGATATATATGGAATCGGGGGAGTAGAGCTAGGGGGGCTGCGCAAAATTCGCAGATTTCTACTTGTGCTATTGTTGTTTACTACATTAAGTGCAAGAGCCCCCCTTGTTATTTTCCTAGAACTTTACCGCTGTATGGAATCTATGTTTTATAAAATTATCAAAGTTCTTATCATCAAATTTAACGCTAACAAAATGTCATACACTAAACAGCAACCTTAAAAACTTACATCGTCATTCTGGTTTTCCAACTCATGTACTCTCTTTTTCAGCATCTTCACCTCTTTCTTTAGCCTACTGTTCTTTTTCTGGCATGTAACTAGCTTAGCTGACAAAACTGGACATTTAAGGCAGCTAGCTTCTTTTGTTGTGGTTAGGGTGTCTACAGATTCGTCTGAATGAGCCTCACTTGAGCATTGAACTGATTCAAGGATGAAGGGATCGGCAGTGTCTTTGGTTTTAGGGTCAATGTTAGGCAACTTCGCTATCGTTTCGTCGTCTATCGCTTTTTTTAAAGCCTAAAAAGTAATTTTGGGAGTTGGCATTGAAGAAACATTGAACAGAACAGCTACAAGGACATTAGAAATGTCATAAGAAAGACCATTACTTTTTGTATAAATTAAAGCCTAAACCTAATTTGGAGCTCTTAAGCCTTTCTTGTGCATATGTATAATTATTATTAAATTTTAATACATCTGCAAAAGAAAAGACCCATTGTAAAAAAATTAGGCCCTACGAACCTTTCTCGCATTCCGTTTATCCCTTTCGCTTTCCGGCGTTCCTGAAAGGGTTCCAGCTGCATCGATTGTTGGAATCGCTCCGATTTCAAGCCTTCTTAGGCTTGTAATGTTTTCACTTGGGTTTCCAATGCTAATGTCTATTCTCCTCGCAAAGTCAGTCGGTTTGAAATGGATTGAGCATAATGCGGAAGTAGCAGATGGAGTGAAGCCGGCTCTATGCCTTCGAACGAAAGAGACCCACTGCCTTCTTTGCTGCGGGTTTCTTGGGAAAATATGCATCGATACTCCAGGCATGTAACTATTATTTGTACAGCTGGTTTCGTTAGGTGCTCCAGCAACACAGTACCTCCCTTTCCCGCCTGTATTTTTCTTCTTCTTCACTTCCATTTCACCCGGCTTTTGGTATACTAATACTAAACCCGTATGTGCGTGACTGATGTATAAATCAGATTACGTCACGCATTCCTGACTGACCGCGTAGATTTTTTCGCACAAAAGATCACAAAAATCAACACTTTCGGGCTCAATTAAAAGGTGTTATAGAGACGACACGCAAAAAATAATTGCACTATTCAATTCAGCGGCTCTTAATTAATCGATAAAATATAAAAAAACACATGGTCAAAATTTTCACTAAAGTAGTTCAGTGGCACTTTAAGAAAGGTTTTCTAGCAAAATGCTCATCTTCTCCATTGCAAAATTGGAAAACATTGCAAGCTTTGTAAAAATTATATGCAAACGGCCCCCTTTTCGACGAATATTGACTAGGAGAAAAGATTTTCTAGCAAAATGCCCGTCTTCCCTTTTGAAAAATTGGAAAACATTGCAAGCTTCGTAAAAATTATATGCAAACGGCCCCCTTTTCGACGAATGTTGACCTTAAGAAAGGTTTTCTAGCAAAATGCTCATCTTCTCCATTGCAAAATTGGAAAACATTGCAAGCTTTGTAAAAATTATATGCAAACGGCCCCCTTTTCGACGAATTTTGACTAGGAGAAAAGATTTTCTAGCAAAATGCGCGTCTATTTTGTTGAAAATCGGTAAAACATTGCAAACTTCGTAAAAATTATATGCAAACGTCCCCCTTTTCGACGAATTTCGCCACCGTGAAAAGATTTTCTAGCAAAATGCCTGTCTTCCCTGTTGAAAAATTGGAAAACATTACAAGCTGCGTAAAAATTATTTGCAAACGGCCCCCTTTTCGACGAATTTTGACACCGAGAAGAGATTTTCTAGCAAAATGCGCGTTATTTTTGTTGAAAATTGGTAAAACATTGCAAGCTTCGTAAAAATTATATGCAAACGGCCCCCTTTTCGACGAATGTCGACCTTAAAAAAGGTTTTCTAGCAAAATGCTCATCTTCTCCATTGAAAAATTGGAAAACATTGCAAACTTCGTAAAAAATATACTCAAACGGTTCCCTTTTCAACGAATTTTGACACCGAGAAAAGATTTTCTAGCAAAATGCCTGTCTTCTCTGTTGAAAAATTGGTAAACATTGCAAGCTTCGTAAAAATTATATGCAAACGGATCCCTTTTCGACGAATTTTGACACCGAGAAAAGATTTTCTAGCAAAATGCCCGTCTTCTCTTTTGAAAAATTGGAAAACATTGCAAACTTCGTAAAAATTATATGCAGATGGTTCAATTTTCGACAAATTTTGACACCGAGAAAAGATTTTCTAGCAGAATGCCCGTCTTCTCTTTTGAAAAATTGGAAAACATTACAAGCTTCGTAAAAATTATATGCAAACGGCCCTCTTTTTGACGAGTTTTGACACCGAGAAAAAAATTTCTAAAAAAATGCCTGTCTTCTCTGTTGAAAATTTGGAAAACATTGCAAGATTTGTAAAAGCTATATGCAAACGGCCCTCTTTTCGACGAGTTTTGACACTGAGAAAAGTTTTTCTAGCAAAATGCCTGTCTTCTTTGTTGAAAAATTGGAAAACATTGCAAGCTTTGTAAAAATTATATGCAAACGGCCCCCTTTTCGACGAATGTCGACCTTAAGAAAGGTTTTCTAGTAAAATGCTCATCTTCTCCATTGAAAAATTGGAAAACATTGCAAACTTCGTAAAAATTATACTCAAACGGCTCCCTTTTCAACGAATTTTGACACCGCGAGAAGATTTTCTAGCAAAATGCCTGTCTTCTCTGTTGAAGAATTGGAAATCATTGCAAGCTGCGTAAAAATTTTTTGCAAACGGCCCCCTTTTCGACGAATTTTGACACCGAGAAAAGATTTTCTAGCAAAATGCCAGTCTTCTCTGCTGAAAATTTGGAAAACATTGCAAGCTTCGTAAAAATTATATGCAAACGGCCCTCTTTTCGAAGAGTTTTGACACCGAGAAAAAAAATTCTAAAAAAATGCCTGTCTTCTCTGTTGAAAATTTGGAAAACATTGCAAGATTTGTAAAAGCTATACACGCTTTTTTTTTTATAAGGAACCGTTTATAAGGAACCTACATGTAGAAGGTCAAAAAACTTAAGGAACTTTTACTACTAAAGGCCAAATCCCTAAGGAACTTTTTAATTTTGAATATATTTATATTTCCGCACAATTTACAATTAGGAAGCCGGTTCCATTGATTTTCAGTAAAACCGGCCATGCTCATGGGGCCAAGAATCAACATGAGAAATTTCCGTTTTAACTCACCTCACATGCAGCTGTGCTTTGTTGTGAATTCACACTTTAGGTGTTTTAGTTTTAGTCAAATAGGTTAGTCACAACAAAATAGAATTCTTATTCTGTTTGTGTGGCTGAGTATTACAGTAGTTGTAATATGGGAGATAAGAAAAAGCAGTCAACGTTGTTCAAGTTCGGTTTTTCTAAAAAGATACCTCATCGAAATGAGTTACAAGAAGTCCCTGGTCGTTCGTTTGTTGAGGATGATGATGTAAGTTTGTATCGTTGTGACACATGCAACAAGCATTTCAAAAGTAAGTCTGGCCTTACGATGCACGTGTCTTGGTGCACTTCGAAAAAAGACAGTGAGAGAGAAAAAGAACAACCAACTAAAAAAATCGATGAAATTCCATTGATCTTGGAAAGTAGCGCCGAGGCTGTTGAGCCACAAAAAGAACCAACTGCTATTGATGTGGATGAGAACATCGAAGAAACTGTAGAGGAATGTCAAGAGATAGAGAAAAGTGCTAGAGCGTCAGAAGCAGGAGAAAGCAGTCAGCACCATCGAGAGAAGAAGAACAGACTATCTTATGACACCGAATTTAAGCTAAAAGTTATCGAGGAAGCAAAGAAAAACCAAAAGAATGACGTTGCATTCAAATACAACATCTCTAAATCGATGGTATCGACCTGGGTTAAAAATGAGAAGAAAATTACTGATGCAGCCGCCCATAGCCACAGGAAAATGATGAAAAAGATCAGACCCAGCACAAGGCATAAGCAAGTCTTCGTGATGCTTCACGAAAAATTCCTACAAGCAAGATCAAAGGGGATGCGAATATCTTTTGCATGGCTGTACGCAAATGCTAGGAAGATTAACCCCGAATTCGACCAAAGTGCCCAATCAGATATTAAAGCTATCCCGAAATCTGCAGTCTTCAACTTTATCAGGAAGTACAAAATCAAGTTGAGGAGAATTCAGCGTAAGAAAAGGGCTGAGAAAACGAGCTTCTTGCCAGGCATGATTGGTTGGCACACAACTTTGCGCGAAGGCTTGATCAAGACAGGAAACGCAAAGCCTTCCTATGACAGCAAATGGGGGAGATTCCGACCATCTAAACGCTTCAACGTTGACCAAGTTCCTATGCCGTTTGCGGTCGATTGTAAAACAACATACGAAAAACACTTTCCGCGCGGAGAACAAAGAAACCATCGAACCTGGGTCAGGTAAACCGCTTTCTGCTTTTTGTTTAAACTCTTTCCAGACTGGGCCTTTTAAAAAATTAATTTGGAAATATTATAAAAATTGGGGGGCTGCTCATTTGTCCACTCCTTCTAAAATTGCTATCTTTAATTCTTTTTCAGCACACCGGGACCGGGACTTGATAAGCGGCAGTGCACGTTACAAATCTGCTTTGCAGCCGAAGGACCGCCAGTCAAAATTGCAATTATTTTCCGTGGAACAGGGAAAAGAATCAGCCAGGATGAAATACAGGCATACCACAAAGACGTGGATGTTTACTGGCAGACAAACGCCTGGGCAGACATCAATTTCAGCATCGACTGGGTGAAGAGAACTCTGAAACCAGCTGTCCAAAATTCTTCCGAAACAGGTGAAAATGAAGAATTCGTTCTTTTCTGCGACAACTTAAGTGCGCAAACTAATGATCTGTTTCTGAGTAAGGTCAGAAAATTAAATGGTGTTGTTTGGTTCGGTTTGGCCGGTGCGACAGACATCTGGCAACCTGTAGATTGTGGCTTTGGAAACATGCTGAAGTCTTTGGTTCGAACCCTCCAAGATGAGTGGCTGCAAAGTGACGAAAATATAGATCTTTGGCTTGGGAACAGTGTTGAAAAACTGGATGTCAAGAAGCGAAGAATTCTAATTACACACTGGGTTGGTGAGGCATACAATAGGCTTTCCAGTGAGAGCTATGCCTCATCACGGTACAGATGCTTTGAAAAGACAGGCTGCTTAATAACGGCTGATGGGTCGGAGGACAAGAAAATTCAGCCTGAAGGTCTGATTGGGTACTCAATACCACCACCATTGCCTGTGACTGGCCCCGAAAATCCACTGTCTGTACAAATACCAGAGGCCTCAGCAGCCTGTGAGGAAGATGTAAGTGATGAAGAAGATGAAGGGGATGAAGAACTTGAGCCTGACGAGCTTGAGCATGAAAGAGTAGACCATGTAAAAGATCGTGTCTACGAACATGAGTTGATTATTAAAAAAATACGCGCATTCTACGACGA